AACTGCTGAGATGTGGTTGTTTAAATCATCGGTTGATTTGCAGATTAATTCAAGTTTCTCAGGACGATGAGGCCAAACGTGCATCGTGACAGTCGAACAGTTTGACTTCCAGTCGCAGCAGCAGCCACGTCTGTAAATGAGCTTCACTAAAACAAAAAGAGGATTAATGGGGCAACAGGTCGGCCTCCGTGAACTTCCAGGAAGACGGAGGACAAAGTGTCTGAGACCTACGTGGGAGTAGTTTCCTTTACACGACTGGAAATGTGATTAAATCAGTTAGAGGGAGGCTGCAGCAGGTCGGAGCTGAGAGACTGTGTTTAAATACGTTGAGAAGGAGCCGCTGGATCTCTAATTAAATCACAAGTTTGATTACAAGTTCATCTACCGGCTTTTATTTTAGTGATTAGTGTCGTTTAAATGCAAAAAAATGTGTTCGAATTTTGTTCCAATCATGTAAAAATCAGCAAAGCTTCACATTTGAGCTTCAAATTGCTGCTGATTTTCTATTAAATGTCTAAAAAGTTCAACAGTTTAATGAAGAGCTGCCTGAAAAGTCGCTCTGTTCAGTTGATTTTTGTCCTTAGTGCTAAAAATGTGTTTGTTATTTTAATCCGAATCAAGTTTTAAATCGTTTTCTCCAAACACGTCGGCGGTTTTCGGCTCCACTCAGCGCCACGTTTTCAGAAAATGATCCAGAATCTGAGTAAAAACTAAAATGGATTCTGTCTTTCCTGTTTTAGGTCCGACTCAAACAGCGACTCGGTTCTGAAACAGCATTTTGTCCCTTTTCTGAACTTCTGTCGGATCTTTTCTTTTCATGTTTACTGTTGCTTTCTAGAACTTTGTATGTTTTGATGTTTTGTGAAGCTGCACATGTGACGTTTCTTGTTCTGATGTCAAACCTCCTGTAACCGGGTTCTGGTTCTGTGTTCTCAGGCGTGGTCGGGGAGAACGCGCCGCCCATCCCCGACAACAACATGGGGAGTCGGATGCTGCAGAGCATGGGCTGGAGTCCGGGGATGGGTCTGGGCCCGGAGGGGCGGGGCATCACCGAGCCCATCAGAGCCACCCAGAGACCCAAAGGCACCGGTCTGGGCTTCAACTGAACCGGTTCTGCATCCTGAAGCTGAAACGCCCTCAAAAAATCAAAACAAAAACAGAGAGGAAGTCCTCCTTTAAAAACAGAACAGTCCAGGTGGAGGGAGGCGGCGAGGGTCGTCATGGCGACAGAGCGATGGAGGAGGAGCTTTCCCATATTGGGGAAGCAGCAGGAAGCCCGGCGGACTCCTGAGCTGCAGGAAAAAGGCTTCGACAAACTCCACGTTGGAGAAACAAACGCTGCCGACGGTTTACAGCGGCCCAGTCGATTCGTCAACGGTTCAACGAATCAACGCTTCGAGTACCTCAGACACGTTCAGGCTCCCGAGCAGGGACCCGCTCTCATGGAAGGAGCCATCAGGAGGCTTTTATTATGGAAACCTGAACTTTCCCTTTACGTAGCAGCTGAGAAAACACACGTCTGTCGTGTTCATCCAGATTTATTTAAGGTTCTCAAACAGCTGCTGCAGCATTCAGACGACTGTAACCGACTTCATCTACAGTATGAGACGACACGACGAGTTACAGGAGAACGTTTCTGTCATTGGTCACGTTTAAAGGTCCTACAAACCTGTGGTTAGTCGTGTTTTCACTTCATCTGCAAATACAGACTCTGGCCTCGTCCACATGGGCACACATTGTTTAACGGTCAACACAACCGAAACGAGTTGTTTGGTTTTGGACCAACAAGACATTTCAGGAAACAGTTAAAGTAATCATCAGTTGCAGCCCTTTAATGAACCTTCATCAAACCAAACTCCATTAAAAAAAGCTTCAATTTAAAGCCAGAATCAGGATGAATTTCTGTCACTAATTTCAAGTAATTAAAAAAAAAAAAAAAAAGGTCTAAATTTTGTGATTTTGTCTTCTTAATTGTGAACATGGAGTAAACTGACAAAACAAGACACTTGTCAGCAATTAAAATAATCATCAGCTTCAGCCTTTTATTGAACCTTCATTGAACCAAACTCCATTCAAAAAAGTTCCAATTTAAAGCCAGACAGAGAACGGTTACGAATAAAGCCAGATTTTTAGCTCCAATTTGGTCACCTCCAGTAGATTTTAGAATCAGGATGAATTTTTTAAATAAAAACATTTTCAATTCTTTGATTTCAGCTTCTTGAACGTGAATATTTTCTGGTTTCTTTCCTCCTCTATGACAGTAAACTGTAGATCTTTGGACAAACTAGACACTTGAGGAAACTCTGATCCACATTTTTCACCATTTTCTGACATTTAAGAGACCAAACAACTGATTGATTCATCCAGAAATTAATCAACAACTGAAATAATCATTAATGAAACATCATCAAACCAAACTCCATTCAAAAAAGTTCTAATTTAAAGCCAGGACAAATGTTTGTGAATAAATCCTGATTTTTTTTTGCTCAGATTTGGTCGCCTCCAGCAGATTTTAGAATCGGGACTATTAGTATTAAATTAATCTTCAGCTATTTAGAGAGTCAATTAATAAGTTTGAGTAATTATTTATGGAAAACGGTGTAAACTCTGCAAGTGCAGCTTCTTGAATGTGAATATTTTCTGGTTTCTTTCCTCCTCTGTGACACTAAACTGAACATCTTTGACCTTTTTCTGACCTTTTAGAACCAAACAACTGATTGATTCATCCAGAAATGTATCAACAATGAAAATAATCATTAGTTTCAGCCCCAGAACTTCTTTCTACGGACCTAAAAGTGCGTTAAACAGAATCAGTAAAGTTTAAAGAAACACCCGTGTGCGTGTAGACGAGGCCTGAGGCTGCTCAGACTAAAGTGAAAACACACTTTTGAGGTTGTCTGTGGACTCTGTGCTGCTGATCTGAGTCCACTCCTGGACTTTTAGCTCCGTTAGCTGTAGAAGATCTCTGTGAATATAGAACTGAAGTAAGTTTAAGTGCAGCCGAGAGATTAAAGAACAGAAAACTGCATTAGAAACATTAGAAATTGTGCATTTTTCCTCTAAACGGCTTCGCTTTTAACCAAAAGGATGTATTTTGTTTGTTTGTTTGTTAAATTCTACTTGGCTGATTGGAAGAAATGTGAGCTGAGCTGTGACAGAAAAACGTGCATTAAACGTGGAAACTGTCAGAACCGTGTGTGTGCTGGTGTTTCTGATCTGTGTTTGAATCAACGGGACTCCATTGGTTCCTGTGGGAGCCTCCGTGTCCGTTAAAAATGTTAAACCTTGTGTAGATGACAGAGAAGCCAGTGTTTGTACGAGGAAGTTGGAAAAAATAAACGAGTTAACAGGCTGCTGGAAAGAGAGAGACTTGTTTTAAATAAACTGCTCCGAATTAAACCGATTCCCTCCAAATGAGCATTAATTTTAAGAAAATTCAACCTCAAATTTCCGATTTTTTCCCCCAAACAACGAATATAAAAACCTGATTTTGTAACTGGGGCGACCGTCTTTCCTTTTCTGTTCATTTAATCCTACTGGAAGAAAACTGCCGTTAAGCTAAAAAAAACATGAAGAAGAAGTGCTGAAGGTAAACCCAAATGTCAATATACATACTACCATATTATACGTGTTTGTTTTTGGTCTTTTTAAGTATTCAGTTTGATTTTGGACTATGGTAAACTACAGATAACTATCTTGCTCAGTCTCTACTCTTTGGGGCTTAAAACAACGTTAATTACTGGCGAGTATTAAGGTAGGCTACAGATGACTATCTTGCTCAGTATCTACTCTTTGGGACGTTAATTACTGGCGAGTACTCAGGTAAATGACAGATAACTATCTTGTTCAATATATACTCTTTGGGGGGTTGATTACTGGCCAGCACTAAGGTAAACGACAGGTAACTATCTTGCCCAGTATCTACTCTTTGAGACGTCGAGAGAGCGCGACCTTGAAAGTGACGTCACGTCCAGCGCCGCGCTCCAGGTCAGAGAGTCAGAGGAGGGTCGTTTTTTNAACCTGTGGTTAGTCGTGTTTTCACTTCATCTGCAAGTATAGACTCTGGCCTCGTCCACATGGGCATGCATGGTTTAACGGTCACATCCACGCAGGCACATGGAAACACAACTGAAACGAGTTGTTTGGTTTTGGACCAACAAGACATTTCAGGAAACAGTTAAAATAATCATCAGTTGCAGCCCTTTAGTGAGCCTTCATCAAACCAAACTCCATTAGAAAAAGCTCCAATTTAAAGCCAGAATCAGGATGAATTTCTGTCACTAATTTCAAGTAATTAAAAAAAAAAGAGAGAGAGAGAAAAAAAGTCTGAATTCTGTGATTTTATCTACTTAATTGTGAACATACTGTAAACTGACAAAACAAGACACTTGTCAACAATTAAAATAATCATCAGTTTCAGCCCTTTATTGAACCTTCATTGAACCAAACTCCATTCAAAAATGTTCCAATTTAAAGCCAGACAGAGAACGTTTATGAATAAATCCAGATTTTTAGCTCCAATTTGGTCGCTTCCAGTAGATTTTAGAAACAGGATGAAGTTTTTAAATAAAAACATTTTCAATTCTGTGATTTCAGCGTCTTGAACGTGAATGTTTTCTGGTTTCTTTCCTCCTCTGTGACAGTAAACTGTAGATCTTTGGACAAACTATACACTTGAGGAAACACTGATCCACATTTTTCACCATTTTCTGACATTTAAGAGACCAAACAACTGATTGATTCATCCAGAAATTAATCAACAACTAAAATAATCATTAATGAAACGTCGTCAAACCAAACTCCATTCAAAAAAGTTCAAATTTAAAGCCAGGTGGCAAATGTTTGTGAATAAATCCTGATTTTTTTGCTCAGATTTGGTCGCCTCCAGCAGATTTTAGAATCAGGACTATTAGTAATAAATTAATCTTCAGCTATTTAGAGAGTCAGTTAATCAGTTTGAGTAATTATTTACGGATAACGATGTAAACTCTGTATGTGCAGCTTCTTGAAAGTGAATGTTTCTTTCCTCCTCTGTGACACTAAACTGAACATCTTTGACCTTTTTCTGACCTTTTAGAACCAAACAACTGATTGATTCATCCAGAAATTAATCAACAATTAAAATAATCATCGGTTTCAGCCCCAGAACTTCTTTCTACGG